CAAACACTATAATTTTCAATCCAGTGTCGGCAGAAATGGGGTCCACGCGTCTAAAACGACGAGGTTTTCAAATCCAGCCTTTCAAACTATGAGATAGCAACCATTCTTTTCAGGCCATTGTGTTGTCCTGGGGAGTGTCCCATTAGTTTAATGGTACTTCGTCATTTTAATCCTAACCACGTACATTTATTCTAACTCCGACCCAGAACTCCTAACTGTAACCGTAGGAGAGAAGTAGGAAAGTAGATAGTGGAGAATGGACAGCGGAAGAGGTTGTAAAGGAAAAAATATACAATAGTTATCTCCATTTTTAATGTTGAGGACATTGTCTTGATTACAAAAACTTAGTTTTGAGAACTGTTAAAGTAAAATGCAATTAAAGTTCCTTTTGTTTCGAGGACAAATAAGTTAATGCGTTTTCCATGGGGATACATACATATTTTACTATCTGTCATAAGATGGTATTATGTGTTTTTTTTTATTTACCTGCCAAAACTTTGAAATTTTGAAAGAAATATATGTACAACAGAATAAAATAAAATAAAGTTATTTTCAACAGACAAACCACATTCCATATTCTCCAGAAACGTACTTTGAACTGGATAGGATATTACAATTAGAATAATTCAATAAAGAGCCTCTAAAATGTTTAAAAGTTGATATTGAACACTCCATCAAGGTGTTCCAGAAAAGGAACATGCTTTCCAACACTGCTCCTCATTAAAAGTCATCGGCATTCATAATAATATTAATTCTGATTATAAGGAAAAGGATTGCTGTGTTTTATTACATTAGTGTGGGTTCACCTGGGTTCAGGTAGAGCTCTGAGGAGGAACTCCGTAATTGTTTTGTGTGTAAGTGGACTCAAAGGGAGCTGGGCCAGCTTTCTCCCGGTCTTTCATGCTTTGGCAATCTGGGCTCCAGCTCTCGGACTGCGGGCCGCATTGTGTGAAGAATTTTCACACAAAGTGTGAAATTGATTTTGTGGAGCTGGAAGCACTCGTGCGCTTGTATGGAGCATGTTGCAGCTCTAAAACACCCATTGTGCTGTGGACACAGCGGAGCGATTAGCAGCTGAAGAGTCAGATATTTCCCTCAAGAGTTGGCAGAGAGCAAATAAGATAAGACTGAATATTAGACTTCCATTTTCCAGCTGTCCACAGATAGAAGTCTGAATGACCGATATTGCTGCCCTGCAACAAAAAAAACACAGAAAAAAAACAGGAACACTGTTATCCTGTTATGAGTTATGAAAACCATTTGAAAAATCCCCCAAGTGAAAAAAAAACATCAGGATGAGTGACGAAAACTAAATGTCCACAATTTATTTTTAATACCAGGATAGAAAAAGACTAAACCGAGTATTGAGGTAAAGAGGATTCCTACAAACCCCAAGTTGAACACCTTGACCTAATTCTAATTTATAATTTAAGTAAAGGTGTTTTTTTATTATTGTTTTTTATATCAAACTAAGCTAGGTGTAAACCATCTTTATGGCCGGAGCTGACAAGTACAAAGGGTCACCACACTTAAACCGCCATGTTAGCGCTGGACGCTGTGCATGCATGGGGGGGGCGGAAGAGTAGTAAGTGAGTCCAAAATGGCACTGGGATTGATTTTGTCCTTATCTTTATTTTAATTTTTCACGTTGGATCAAAGACAGAGACAGCCAAAGACAGCCAGAGGCTGACATGGTTATTTAGCCAGGATTTGTCCTTCAAAGTGTAATGAATTGTAAAGTGAACCGGCTACAGGCCATAATGCTCTCTCAGTGCAGCTCCCATGTTCAGAGGCCGTCGATAACATCCCAACACCCTAACGCGCCCTTTTACTCCGCTGAACTACACGCATGAGGCTAAACAGCTGCTCACATCTGTCCCACACAACAGTCGGAACTCAATTCACTGTTTCCAAACCGATTCTGAGAGATAAGTTTAAACACAACAATGATTTTTGATTAGATACTTTGTGTTAAGCATCATGTTACAGGGAAGTAGTTAATCCGTGTTTTTACATGATGCATTGACTGTGGTCAATATGACCACAGTGAGAAATTCTGAGGTAAAAAGATTGATTTGGACTATTTTTTATGTGATATTTCATTTTGCTTTTGTAATATCACTTTGTTACCCATTACAATTACATTCTATTTAATTTCATCATGTGTTACTATTTTAAGTATTATGTGATAGATTATATTACTAAGTATTTGTTTACACTTCGTCCTGAAATATAGAATATGATATGGTTTAAATTCCTGTCACGGAGCATCACAGTCCCTGATTGAAACTATACTATAATCACATTGCAGTGCAATGCATCATGTAATAGCCTGTGTAGTTATGGAGTCCATCTCATCAGAAAACAGAAAAGTCATGCATTTTTCTACATCTCATGTCCACAAATGCCCCAATTCTTAGGTAGAAACTGTATATTGGCAACATATTTGTCAGATTAGTTTAGTTTAAGTCAGCATTCAAGTAAACTAATAGGAACTACTAACCAAGACTGGTAAATGATTATGTGCTGGGCATGTGAAACCAAGTCCTTGTAATTTGAAGCTTAACCACTTGGGAGGGTGTTAGAAAAATAAAAATAAAATGGAAGGTAAACATGTAATCTCTTAAAGTGTGACCTGCAGCGTGGGTGTCAGCAGAACAATCCTCTTTTGTGTTCTCATAAAGGTTTGTGACTATGACAATAGTGTCTAACATTTCGGGGGTCATGTAGCTAAACGGTAAACTTGACCGAGCATCAACATCATCTCATTTCAGTAAGTACCATGTCATTAGATATGTGTCTCTATTTAGAAACGGGCAGAACTCCAAAAAAGTGCCAACAGTTGAACAATGTTTGACATTTTATGCCATGCACCTACATAGTGTGAGACCATCAACAAGTCCTCCCAATTAAAAAACTATAGACATATATATATATGAATAAATATCAAAACTAACACATGGCAAATGCTGCAATAACACTGTTTCATTATTGGATGGACATCAGATTTCTGATTTTCACAGCAAGACATGAATTTGACAAGGATGCCATCTTTGATCACTTCCTGTTTGGGTCTGAGCAATAATACTTTTTACATTTTGTCATTATGTCAAACGTATTTTCTTATTAGACTGCAACACCCCGTGGTAACTTGTTTAAGAGGAGGACAACATGGCTTGTACATGAAAAAAAGTTACATATTCATTTCAGTGTTTTCAGTGAATTGAGATATTTTTCTATATTATAGGACTTTTATGCCATTTAATGTCAATAATTCCTCTGATATCTTACTGTCTTATTTTTATTATATTGAATATATAATGTTTTGTGTTATGCATATGACATTGTGTAAAATCCTGTGGTGAAGTGAAAGTCTGTAGATTTTTAGACCAAAACACATGGTTGCTCTAAGGGTGAGGTCACGCATTGAGATGTTCCCCTATTTTCTGAGGAGTCACATCACACGTCAGCTAGTGTTATGAAACTTTACACACACATAAAAGTGTGTAACTCCCAGTACAACAAAGGGATTCCCATTGTCTCTAAAGGACAGTACAACAGCCAGGCTCTCAGAGCTACAACCTGACTGTGTCATGTGGTGATTTCTAAAAAGAAAAATCGAATTCTTGACAAAGACAAAAGCCTTGTTCCTTTGTAGAATACAGAACAAATACTGCCTCGTGTTAGGGAGAATTCTGCTCTACACTGTGGGTTCTAGTCTTGTCATGCATTTATCATGTGTTTTTTCTTGTCCCCGTGCTTATTCGAAGCAATAAAGCAGCAGCAGGGGATAAGATGAGGGCTGAAATTAGATCAAATTTTAATGATCCCTGCGGGCAAATTGCTTCTTTGCTGCAGGAGCTGAGGAGAAAAAAGAAGCACCGTCACTTTGTTGTGAGCGACTCTGGGTTTAAAGGATGTTTGAGTCACACACAGTGGAGAGTGTGTGAATGAAAGACAAATGTAAAACAAATTTAAATTTGGCTGTTAAGGAGTTTCTACACAGACTGAATCAATTTAATAGAGTCTTTAAAGAGTACTAGAGATTTTTTTCATGCTTTCATGCATACTGAGCCCACTCAGAGAGCTTTGTTTGCTGAAAGTTTATGAAGAAGAAGCCCAGTATCACTGTATTATTATTAATATTTGTTTTATTTTCATTGCTAAGAGTCATTTGTTGTCCTGTAATTTTTCTTTATATTAGAATTAATTCAGGTTTTATCTAAATTCCACATTTATTTGATGTAAACACATCAAAATATGACTTTTCTTCACCATACAAAAGTAATTATTATATTTTAATATCATTTTAACGTATTAAAAAAAATTAACATATACTCATGAATTAATTTGTATATTCATTTTATAGAGATTTTATAAAACTATAAAATCTCAATTGTTTTTTAACTCTAACATCTGTACCATTGTAACATCTTAGAAATTTCACTAAATAAAGACGTTTAGTCCAAATTCCAACCGGATCACAGTCAAAACCCAAAATGACCACGGGCCATCCTGATTGGCCAGTGGGGCACCAGGCCACGCCCTTTCACACACAGTTCCCCTTTGTGATTGGTGTAGTCCCCCGTCAGTCCAGCGGGTGGCGCCCCCCCCACCCTCCCCCGCGCGCCCCCGCCCCCCCCGGCAGCAGGGTGGGTTGAGCGGTCAGCTAGGGGACCGTGGACAGCTCCCGTCTGCGGGGCAGAGCAGCACCGGAGGAGGAGAGGGCTGGACATGGGGGAGCCGCCGCGCACGCCCGCACGAGCGACATAAGCAGGCTTTTTTCATGTGCGCGCACACGGGGGGGAGACACACAAAGACACCGAGCCGGAGCGGCCTCAGGAGGACGGGGGAACAACCGGAGGAGAGAACCAGAGGGGGGGGGGGGGGCACGGCCACCGACCCATCCCGGCGCATCCCGGGAGAAAAGCGGCGCGAGAGGAGGGGGAGAAGACGGAGAAACGATTCCGCTCGCCCCGATGGACTGAGAGGACAGATGAATGAAGACTGCTTACACTAACGCCTATCGATGCCTGGCCAAGGACCTGGACGCTTACGCCATGAACACGGACATGACGATGGACGGCATCGGCAGCCTGCATGGCGGGGTGGCCGTGAGCTCCGTGGCCCCTGACGTGGAGCTGATGAGCGGCCACAGCCCGCACCACGGCCGCGGGAACGGGTCGCTGGCGGGGGGGGGACCCGGGGCGGCGGCGGCGGCCGCGGCGGCGGCGGCGTCCACCCTGCGGATGCACCAGGACCTGGCCGCCGCCGCCGCCTCCTCCCGCTCCGCCATGGTGTCCGGCATGGCCACCATCCTGGACGGCAGCGGGGAGTACCGGCCGGAGCTGTCCCTGCCGCTGCACCACGCCATGAGCGTGCCCTGCGACACCTCCTCCCCCGGGATGGGCATGAGCGGCACCTACACCACCCTGACCCCGCTGCAGCCGCTGCCCCCCATCTCCACCGTGTCCGACAAGTTCCACCACCACCACCATCACCACCACCACCACCAGCGGCTCTCCGGGAACGTCAGCGGGAGCTTCACCCTGATGCGGGACGAGCGCGGGCTGCCGGGCATGAACAACATCTACAGCCCCTACCACAAGGACCACATGTCCGGGATGGGTCAGAGCCTGTCCCCGGTGCTGGGAAACAGCCTGGGCTCCATCCACAACACCCAGCAGGGTCTCCACAACTACGGCACCACGACGCACGGAGGCCACGACAAAATGCTCAACTTCGAGGCGCACCACACCGCCTCCATGCTGGCCAGAGGGGACCACCACCAGCACCGGGGCCTCGGCGGCCCGGCGCCCGGGATGATGCCGCACCTCAACGGCATGCACCACCCGGGTCACCCGGCCGCGTCCTCGGCGGGCCACCACCCCCACCCCCACCTCCAGTCCCCGTCCCACGGGCCCGTGCTGGCGTCCACGCGGGAAAGACCGCCCTCCTCCTCGGGCACGCCAGGGGGGAACGGCTCGGGACAGCTGGAGGAGATCAACACCAAGGAGGTGGCGCAGAGGATCACGGCGGAGCTGAAGAGATACAGCATCCCCCAGGCCATCTTCGCCCAGAGGGTGCTGTGCCGCTCCCAGGGAACCCTGTCGGACCTCCTGAGGAACCCCAAACCGTGGAGTAAACTAAAGTCAGGCCGGGAGACGTTCAGGAGGATGTGGAAGTGGCTGCAGGAGCCCGAGTTTCAGAGGATGTCGGCCCTCAGACTGGCAGGTAGGAGACCGCCGGGGCTTTAGTTTGAGCCGAGACAGCGTTTCCCCGTCCACAATTTGGAGATGGAAGGAGGAAAACCCCCCTCATTCTCCTGTCTCCAGCTTTGTTTTGGTTTTTTCCTCCCTCTCCAGTTCTCATAGGGCTGCTCCTCTCCAATTGAGGCGCATTGAATTTATTTCGGATCGCCGGTGTTATGATTACCATTATTGATCAATAACAAAAAGGGATCGATAAGATATGACAAGGTCATGGGATTTCCCTCCAACAACCCCCTCTCGGTTGAGCTGCACCTGTAACGGGGAAACAGCACTTTGACTTATTACCGGACAGCGGTTCTGCCGGAAAACGCGCCCGAGCGACGCTTGAATTTATCGGGTTGAGAAATGAAAAAATGAAGGGAGCTTTGTCGGCACGGCTCATAGCACCTAAGTAGGATTTTAAATTACATTTAGAATATAAAAAATATATCCTAGAGGTGGTTGATGACCACTTTCCTAATGCCAATATGCAAATTCCCAGTTAGGAGCGTCTTTTTTTATTTATTATTCCACTTGATTTGATGAGAGGGAGAAAGTCTTTTGTGTGATGGCCAGGGTGTCGGAGGGTCTGTGTCTGCTGATGTGGGGCTATAGGTGGGCCGGGTGCCCCCTCTAGTGAGGAACCTGCTCCCTGTCCCATCAGAGAGGCTCCATTGTCTGCAGGGACTGGGGGGGGTGGGGGGGGGGGGGCCCCGACCCAACCCTGGGTGGTCTGGCGGGGGGCAAATTTGGAGAAGTAGTTTGTAAATCGGCACGTATTTACCGGGGTGTAATTTTAGAGGGACGTCTTTATTGTGGTGTTGTGTGTCTGTGGCGGATTCATTGTGAGAGAGTGTCGTTTGTGTGTCTTTTGTCCGATTCTGCTGCCATTGAACTGATCAAATATTATAATCTACCTGATATATTCAAGTTTTGGACTTTAAAACGTTTAATGTAAAACAGATTAAGATCAAAGTTCTTTAAAAAAATATTTTTTAAGGTATGTTTTCAGTTGTTACATTTAGATTACGAACCTAATTTGCTATGAGGGAATATTGACTATCACTAGTGTCTTATTTAATTTTCCTAACAATATTTTAAAACCAAAAAAAGTGCAGTCAAGTTATTTTTCAATCAACACATTTTTTGTCAAACGTAGAAAACTATTCAAATAAAAGCAGCAGCAGAGTGTCTGCCATGAAAATTATAAAATATTATTCTAAAAAGTTTTCTTTCAACTAGGCTACGTTAAAAAATGAGAATATTAATGAACCTAAGTTGCTGTTTCTGTTAAAAAAACACCTCACAAATGAACCTCCTACATGTCTGTCACACATTCATAAAGATTAAACAGCCCACTAAAAAGTTGATCTGGCTGAGAACTTTTCTCCCAAAAATTAGCTTTTTTCTTTTTGGACTTCAAATATAAAACTTATGGTTTGTGGTTTTCAGTAAATTGAAAATAATTTTTGTTCGTATCAAATCCTAAATTGTGAGTCCTGATTCTCCCACTTAACACACTGGCTGGTGACCTTTTGTTCAGATTTCTAACTGTTGCACAACCAAACACGGAGAGTTTTGGGCCACGGGGACATTAGTTAAAAACATGCTCTCAACTGGCTCCACAAATTATAATCTCATTTTAAACTAATTCTTGTCGTCATTTTAACATACACAACTAATCTTAGGAATCTTTGCTGCAAGACTCCTAATTCAGTTCTTGATTGAGATAAATGAAGAGATTGATAAAAAGCTTCCTGTAATTGTCCATTATTCAAACTTTAACTTTACTATATATTCATGAATAAATTCTAAAATCCATCATTATACTCTTATGAGCTCTTAAAAAAGCAAACAAGTCAAAAGCAAATAAGAAAGCTTCAGATAGGCTACTGGGGAAAACATGTGAAATACACAGAAAATGATAAAGTCACATAAACAACAAACTCAACAATAAACAAGGAATGTACTTGTCATGAAAAGCAGGATTTAACATTCAAAATGTCCTAAACTGGCTTCTGAAAAGTGGTAATTGCGTATTTTTAATATATTTTAGAGTTGTCAGACAAACCGAGGCTTTGAATGTTGCTTTAAGGGATGAAAATCAATTTACATCTTTGGCTAAAAAAAGCCTCTAGACCCCTCAAAACATTATTCTAATATACAATGTCACATAGCTGATAATATCTACGATACATTCATTTTTTTTCTCAGTCAATAAACCAATTTTGGTTTTACATAAAAAGGGAGACACATTCCGGAAATCAAATTAAATCAATTAAATTCTTGAATATGCCAATTTATTCTGGAAATTAAATAAATAAAACACACCTTTTTGCTTCTATTTCACAGTTTGTGTCGACGGCTAAATATAAAAAACTTCCATTCATATTTCCAGATCTCGCAAGAGTTCACAATGATTTTCCCTCTTTTACCAAATTTGAATCATGAAACTGACTTTCATCATGTCAAATATTTGATCTTCTCTTTTCTTCTGAATGCAGTGTTTTTACCATGATTCATTTATAGAAATATACCAGTATGGATAATCCAATCAAAATCAGCATTTATATCTTCTTTATGCTTTAAGTTTCAGCCATTTTCCAGAATGAAAATGATGTAATTTCATGTTAACACCAATTTTCCTGTAATCGTAGATGTAAACCATAATCATATGGTTACATAATCAAGTAACAAATAGATACATTCTAATATATCACACATATACTTATTTTTGCTGCAATAAGAAAATAAATATTTGTCAAAAAAGAGTAGAAGAATATGCATATATAACAAAGTTTCTTAAATATATACATGACAATGAGTTTATGTTGACTACTTAATATAATATATGATATTAATAACATCTTTTTCCTCTAGTATTTTTTCTCATCTTCAACTCTTATTGCGTCTGAAATCAATTCAAATAACAATATTATGAAGAATGATGAGCAACCTCATATTATCAATAACTATGCTCTAATCAAATGTAGGGTTCTTTTGTTATTAACAGGGGCTTTTATTTCATGTTTTTATGCTGCTAAATTAGAAACATGTCATTTAAGATAGTAGTCTGACATTTCCACTAATACCATTATAATCAGAATGTTTCATTGGTCGGTGTTCCTTTAAAGAAGCTTTATTTAAGGCATAAATGTGACTATTTTTTACAATGCATTCAGACAGCCATGCTTATGCAAGCTTTTTAAAGGACTGTTTCATAAAGAAGTGCTTAGGGTAGCGGGAATATAATTAAGTGCATTGTTAAGGGAGGATTGGATTAGGACTGGAAAATGAGAGGGTCTTTGCTTCTCATGGCTGGTGTTTGACAGTTTAGGTTAATAGGAAACAATCGGAGTGACAAAAGATGGAGGAGGTGGCCTGATGAAAACAGGAGGTGCGCTCATGTGATCTGCTCCCCTGTGTGTTATAAAATGTCAGGAAACAGTGTCATACACTCGGATTTTTAAAAGAGACACGCTCGTTTGCTCTGGCTGCCTCATTGGGGGGGGGGGGGGGGCCCCCTGTCTCTGTATTAGAAAATTACCTTTAGGAGAGTTTTTCCATCATATAGAAAAAGACAAACCAAGACTGAAATTTGGTGGCAAAACCAAAATGATCTCTTTTACACTTCTAAGCTTTATATTTGCAGGCCAACATGGCTAATCCCCCATTTAAATGCCCCAACTCACAACTTCTCTACTCTAATTCCAAACGGCGGTCAAAACTTAAATTCTTCGAGCTGATCCTTTTATACTCAGATCAGGTATTATCCCTCTTTACGGCTCACTGAAGATTATCTGAGCCACAGTACACGCTTAATAAACAAAACCTGTTGTGTGGCGGTCTTAAGAAACGTATTAGGACGTTCTGTTGGCTCGACTTAACTTGCAAATGGCACAAAAATGTGAAATAAAGACAAACGTTCTCATTTTTTTAAGCATCAAACGTAAAAACTACACTGTTTAAACGGTAATAGTTTAGACTAATGTTCAGATTTAACTGAGAATATGTGTGTGGTTTGGTTGCTGAACAGTTAGCTGTGTGACTAACAACAGGATAATGGATGAGTGAGTCACTTCTCTGTTTTGTGCATATGTTCAAATCCCTGCTGAAATCAGCGAGTAACAAATGAGGAAGAAATCATAAGGAGTGCGTACCCTCTTTGAGTAACTAACAGTTTATTCCTGCTGCCTGTTTTTTTTCTTTCTGTCCAGACATTGAGTGGATGTAAGTTATCGTGTCAATCAACTTCGAGGTTCATGTAGATATTAATCTATAACGCTGTCAGTGTTTCTGGCAAGAACATGAACCATTTTAGCTTTTTTTCCGAAAGTGCAAGCGGTGTTGAATGTTATCACAGAGGACGGATCAATTTCACCCATTTTGAATGCGAGGCTTTGTTTTTCTTTTCCTTCTGTGTTATTCATTTACCACCTAAAATGTTCTTCTTCTCTATTGGCGCCCGGCTCTCCTTAGGTGAATGTAAAATAAATGTAGAAACAGGAGGAGCGATTCCAACATCAGCAAAAGCTACAAACATCCAATAGAGCGGAGGTCAAAAGTCAGCAGCAACAATGCTGAGGCAATAGATGGAGCAAATATTCCCCTGATCCCGAGAAGAGCAGAGAGGCAGCATTAAAGGGAATGGGAGAACTGAGAGACAGCCTTATTTGATTTTTCCTTCCTCGACTCTTTATATTATTTACAATAATGTTCTCTTTGTTCATAGCAACACAGGTAGCACTGAACAAAACCGGAGTGTAGTCCATCAGATCCGGTATTCTCCTGGATTCTCTAATGCATTTAGACATATGTTGATGTTTTGGTGCTTTATTTCTTAATATTCTCAAGCATTTAATGAGATGAGTGCAAGTTTGGCCAAAATTAAAGTGAATTGTTTCTCAAAAAGACAGATGCAAACACGTGATACATTTCTTAAATGACTTGCAAACAAGTAAATACATTATTTCTGTTTATGTTCAGGTTAAGTGGCTTTCCTTTGTGCATTTGCAAGGGGAAAAAATTAAACCATTGAGATAAAACACAAGCAATCTACTATAAGAAAAACAAGCTTTTTCGTAATTCATCGTTTCTTATGATAAAAAAAAAATCTTTCATATTTTTTGGAATGTCCAGCTGACAAAAGAATCCAAGCAGTAATTCAGATTGATATTTATCTGAGAAGTGGATAAGTATAATTATTCTAATGATCGTTATTTTCATTTAAGTTAAGCAAAGAGACAAGTTGAGCATATTTGGAGCTTTGTTTGGCTACATTTTGACGGGTACGATGACCAGAAACCTTACATTTCTGAATTGTAGAGCTGGAATGGGTTTCCTGGAGTCTGCCGGAGACTCAGCTCCAGCTCCGGGGGGGTTGGTGGTGTAGCTTTTGATGAATGCATTCTCATCTCTGTTGTTGCTGCTACAAAAAAACACATCAGTGAAACGTATTTTTCTGTTCTCATTGCAAATCTGTTGGCCAAGGCATTCAAATTCAAGTTTCCCATCTCATCCTGGTCCGATTAACACCATGTTACATGGTATCCCAGGTCTGATGCAAAGTTTCAATGATCTGATTAGTCCCTAACAGATAGGATGTTTTTGCTAATGGTGGCTGTGTCTCTGTGTCTTTGGTGGGGACACAGAGTGGGGATGTCATGGTCCTAACTGAGCACCATCAGTGTGAGAAGCTGGACCAGAGCTGAGACTGTGTCGAGTCAATATTAAAAGGCAAAAATAGGTCCTTATTAGCTGGAGCCAAACAAAGCAAACCCCGCAGTCATGTTTTAATTGTGGAGAGCACGGGATCTGCTGCCGGAGCAGATATGAGTTTCTGCTGCAAACATCCAGCTCCGGATGGATTGATTGGACGAGACTGTGAATAGTGGTAAAAATATCAAACTCCCCTTTCCTTACATTACAACACGGGATTTTCAAGCTAAATTCATCTTTACTAGATGGACTTCTTATTAAAGGTGCTCATAACTGATTTAAATGCTTTAAAATGAAAATAAAAAGTACCTGTCACCCAAAAGGAAAGTTTAAAAGATAGGTTTGAATACGTTATGCTATGAGCCTCTCTCTCACCTTCTGCTGTCCAGCTCTGAATCTGTGTCTTTCTCTCGGTGTTTTCTCCCTTCTTGGCCCTCTCTCCCCATCACTCTTTTTTTGGGGGGGGAGGTATTATGTGATCATCGGGGGAATTGAACACAAGAGCAGAGGCAGCAGCGGCCCGATGAATTATTGATGGGAATCTCAGCGTGACCCGCCTCGGTCTGCTCACTTCACTTCTTCTTCACCCCGGAGCCGGGTTAACCAGGCAAAATGGAGGCAGAGCCGGGGGGGGGGGGAGCGGGGCTCCATTGTTTGGATGGAGGGCAGGGTCTACCTGGTCTACCTGGTGTATTAAAGATGACAGGGAAACTAAGTTGCTCGTAGTTAAACTCAACTACGAACTAAAATGTTCTCATGTGAACCAGTTAGAATCAACTCTTCTTACCTTCTGTGTGGAGTTTATGGCACACTTTCCCATTCTGACCACCGTGGAGCACAGGAATGTGATATAATGACCTTCTAACAAGCTCACTAGACTCATCGGGACATATCTTTTGTTGTTTTTTTACGTTTTCTCGGATAATCAGGTCCAGGATATCAGTGTCCGTGTCCTTTTATGAGACGAGATGTATCCACTTAGAGTCCAATTGTGCTGAAAATCTGAATGACTGCGCCTAAATATTTTCCATTTTATGCATCCTGCTGCAAGCAGACACAATGCATTATTAATGCGACAGACTCTCCTTTATGATCCGGATTACCAGCAGTTACCGCGCGCCCGTGTGTGTGTGTGTGTGTGTGTGTGTGTGTGTGTGTTTGGTCATACAGTTTCAGACTGTGGGAACACAGCTTGTGTCCGTTTTCAGGGCTTCTGCTCTGACCTCCTGCATATGCACAGACTGCTATCGATCGGTAATAATGGATTTCGGACTACCGAGAAGAGACTTGTGATGTTTGTTTGTGTCCACGCGGAAAGATATGACAGATACTGTTATCACTGTTTTATCCTGTCAATAGCAGTTTTGGGGGCTGGGAAGTGAGAAGTCACAAAGTCTGTTTTCAGCTATTACTGCATCACTGTATTACAGGATTAATAAAACCAAAAAAAAAAAGTTTGTTTGAAGGCATAGGAATAGTGGTTCCACTTCTGATAAGTAAGAATGACAAACGCTAACCAAACCTGCATTTAAGGGCTAAGTTTAATTGTCAGAGTGACTAAATCCTCATCAAAACAGTAGAATGACCAGGATGGCCACCGTAGGCTGGCTGGAGAATAGCCGGGGAGAGCAGTGCTGTGGTTTTCTCACCAAATTAGGAGGCCGTGTTAGTTTGGAGCAGCAGAAGTGTTTCCAGATGAGAAAATGGTGCTGTCGCAGCTTTATTAGGCCGGTCAAATCAAAGGTGACACCTGAACTCTGAAGTCATCGAGGCACAGCGGTCAGAATACACACACACACACACATCGTTAGAAAACAGCAAAGCACTACTGAATCAGATTGAAAAAGTTATTTTATCGCCTGATTTACGTCGAGAACTGGTTTGTTTGCAAGTAATGGAAAGCTGTATTTCAATCCATTGTTCATAAATGTTCACAACTCATTTTTTTGCTATTGTGTGAGTAATATTTACTAAAAACTGCAAGTTAGTCCTTGATGGAGTCCCTGGCTGTTGACTTCTTTCAATTTTTTTGACACTTTAGAGTATATTTATGCATCTGGGGCTTATATCTTAAGCTATAATTGCTCATATTTATATTTTCACTTCATGTTGACCACATATATTTTTGCTGGAATCAGAAAATGAAATAAAGGGCTGGACTGTGTGAATGCAAGGCTTGGTCATAGTCGGGAAATTGTTGGAGGATTTGGGTTTATGTATTGAAGTACACGCAGTACCTCTGAATAAACCAAATCCATTCCTCTATCCCGGGAACGCGTGGCTGACTCTATGCTCCGAGCTAATTTTCACATTTATCACGTCTTTTTCTTCCTCTCGTCGCTCCCCTTTCTGCGGGCTTCATTAGTATTGCTGTCACAGAGCAGCTGAAATAACTCTGTTGAGAGGCGAAATGAACGAAGACAGGCAGGACAAACCTATCAGACTGCAGGCAGGGCTCACTGTCAGAGACAAACAGGATTAAAACAGCAATCGAATTAAATTCAGAGCTTCGTTTCTTTTGTACAAAACCCAAAAAAACACACACAAGTACATATTAAATGTGATTTTCTTATGTCATATAATCTGATAATATAGATGTATTTGAATAAAACTGTTCATTCTAATGCTATTAAGGAAAAACAAGATGGTACTTTTCTGACTTTTTGCTTATTCAGCTCAGTCTGATAGTTTTGTTTTCTCCTCCTGTTCCTCCGACAGTCCTCTGTATGTAAATGGGCTGATGTGTATCTATACTGGATCAATACATGGACGCTCAGATGCTGGGGTCAGACATAAAAAAGAAAAAGGATGCTGATGCACATTCTTGTTTGTTTTGGGTTTTTTTCTGCTCATGCTGTCTTCTCACTCCAGTCTGTGAGTCGGCTTTTTTTCTGAGACCTGCCCGCGTCTGTGTGTGTGTGTGTGTGTGTGTGTGTGTGTGTGTGTGTGTATTATTATGCCTGTGTGAAACAGCAGTTTGGGCTTGGCCGTGCGTGCGGATGGGTGACGTGGATCGATGGCTGTAATCCCGAGCAGATTAAAAGAGCATTAATACTGGCAACGATAACGTAAACGGCGCGGACCCAGATCTCCATTGATCTGCAGGAACCTGATCCAGACTGGTTCCTGGAAGAGACGGGGGAGGGGCTGTGGACGGAGGGAAGGAAGGAGAGAGCACAAAGCAAACAACAAAGAGAGAGAGACGGCCTGTATTTGAATGCTCATACTGCAGAATAACAGCACAAATTCAGAGTTAGACGCCGATGCTCTCCGGGGTACTGGAGGAGGAAACTCTGCTCATCTTCCTCAGATTTTCCTCCCTTCTTAAATGCACAGATGGAATAAAATGGACATTAAAAATGAAATAAGTAAAGTTACTTTACTGAGACCTGAAGGAAATGGAGTCTCTCCCATTGACATATAACTGTCCCTTTTCAATGCAAGTAGCTCTTTCATCAGGCTGTTGCTGTTGGAAGGAACGATTTCCTGAATCTGTGAAGCTGAGGAAGCCTCTGACTGAACACACTTTGTTGTTAGACCACTATGTTGTGTAGAGTATGTGCAGTATTGTCCGTTATGATTCACAGGGGTCTTAATAAACGTATTTTACAGACGTGAAAATACTTGTTTGAAAACTGTACATCAAAGGCTGACTCAAACTGAGAAATGGACTGTTATACACCAGTATAAAAGGAAAACAGAAGGAAATAGAGAAATATTTGTGTTGTTGGAAATAGGCATCAGCTGCCATCCATACGAATGAGCTGGAACCTTCAGATTCCGGTTTATTTCCACCCAATTTCTACTAAGTTTTTCTATTTGTGAAACATTGCAACAGAGATGCTTGTACAGCAAAGGGAGCAGTGTCCTTTTTAAATACAGCAGGTTTCTACGACAAGACGACAAATTGCTCTTGTGCAATAAACCGCATTCATCCTGGTAATGCAGAGATTTAGTCTGGTCATTATTCGGAATCGCACACTTTTGCAAGAACAGAAGAAGAAGATCTATACCCCTGTACGGGTAGATTAAGGGTGCAATTGTCAGAGAGTTACATAAATTATCAGCAAAATGTTGAACTCACAAAACCTTTTTTTGTGTGCAAAAACACAGCTATTCCAAAAACGCATGACTATGGGGCCCAGGCATTTACTGACACTTGAACATATCTAAAATACTCATTTTAGGCTTTATAGGTTTGTGTGATATGATCAGTGATGTGCTTTAAATGACTCTGTACCTACAAAGCATTTTGTCCATTTGCTCTAAGCAAAATAGTGGTTTAAACCATTTGCAATATGCTAACTCATTGCTTTATAGGGACATTTCAGTTGGCGGAGATAGTGTTATTTAATAAGTGTGCTGCTGGCATCCTCCTGAGATAGCAAAAAGTAGCATGAGAAATGTTACCAACGGCCTTTGTAAAGGAACCGGCAAATGAGGTTTTACATATCTGTCAGGGTAAAATATGCACTTATGGCATTTTTTTTACTTTTTCCTCAGCTCTAATAGAATTTTCTAAACTTGACATGGCTCACTTTAGGTTGTCTGACCAGTACAGCTTAGTGCCACATCACCGTGTGGATTGATTACAGTGAGATCATAAGAATGAAGGACACTGTAGCAGGGATAAAACTGGACCTCGCTGGACCGTGGTGTTTGACGGTCATCATAAAAATTGCGCGTTTCGATGTTGCGGTTTTTAAAATTGGCAAGGTTTCTGGTGAAGGAGTCGCTTTTCTGACTCATTCTGCTGTCGGTTGACGTCCTATTTTCAGCTCCATTGTGCACAATGGAAAACCAAAAAGATACACAGCAAGTACAAAGCATTTGAAATGGGACATTTGTTTGCTCTACAGCCTCTGGCTAGCGTCAAGCTTGGTTTTGCATCAAGGTATCTTAAGACCACAAACTAAAGTAATAAATTAGGTTCAGAATTGAGATAGATGGAATTCAGGAGATGGAATTCAGATGGAATTCAGGAGAACACGTTGATGTCTTAATTGAAGTTGGGAAAAATAAAAATAGCCATGTTTTGGGTCCACAATAAAATGCAGAAATCCTATACAGGGAAGCCTTTAAATATTTAAAATGGGTAAAAGTTCCTTCAAACAGGCATAGATATCATTTTAGAGAAATGTTTGATTTTTTTTAACTTTTACTTTTAATTCTAATGAAATGGCAGTGTATAAGGCAATAGTTGCTGCTAATATCACACACTGATTAGCCACAATAGTTGTTAGTCACTAAAGACACAATAAGTTGATGCATTTTGTTATGCTGAATTGCATATTTTGTCGTCTTTTTTAATCAATTAAATCCAATCTCTTTCTTACAAGTTTTTTTTTCATTTTCAAGCCTTTTGGAAATATTTTCCTTCAAAGGAAAATGTCATTTTCTTGATCTCACCTCTGCAGTTTGTAATTCATTTGCTCGCACTTTTGAGCCGATAAAATCCAACTCAAACTCAAATTTGAAGAGAAAAGAAAATCTGTTTTGAAGGTCAGATTGCTCTTGTTTTTCTACCGTGCTCGCCTCCTCCAGATTTGGTGGTAAAAGCATTAAAAGCAGCCAGTTTGATGCGTATCAGACAGATGGGTTTAAAGGGAATCCTCCTCTATTTGATTGGGCCACATAACTGGATTCATTTAGCTGAATCTGTCTGTTATTGGATTATGTTTCATATTGGATGGATGGGATCCAATTGTAGATATTACAGCCTTTAATGGAGACAGGTTTAGCAGGAGAAAGTGCTCAGAAGCGTAGAGGAGAAAAACAACAGAAAGTGTGAGAAGAAAAAAATGGCGAAAGAAAAAAGAGGATTATTAAAAGGTCTCTTGAACCACAAAAATATATCATTAGGAGTGTTTACCCAATTAATGACATGAGAAAATGCAAAAATTCAATATGTGGACAAGGGATCTGAACACCCTTTATGTCCTATCCCTAAACTGCTATGTATCTGACAGCAGGAAACATGATCAACTCGTATCATTTTCCAATTGTTTGGAGATAAACACTGTGTGGAGCTATTCACCAAGATCTGTTTAGAGCTGAAGCAACTCCTTTTGATCAGTCACAGATGATAATATCATGTATTGATCGGCATTTTTCTACGTTGGAGACGGTTGACTTTGAGATGGCTCCAGGCTACCGGCCCCGGGTCACAAAAAAAACACAGTGGAGATCCGAAAAGGTAGAAAGAAGCTGGTTAACTCATCATCTATTAGTTTTTGTGTGCTCGCGTGTGTTTGTACGTGTTCAATGTTCAAACAGAGCTTCCCTCCGACTTATCGGCACTGTCAACATTCAGAAGGTTAAGGTTCTACCGTTTTTTTTCGTTTTTTTTTTCTGTTTTGTGTTTCATATTTCAACTGCTGAAATGTCCGATCTTTTTATAGAGCTCGCTCCAGTCGGGTGTTGTTACGAGGGGAAATGGTATCCCAGTTTCTTTATCGTAACATTCTGGGTGACCATAACAAAACTGACTTCATTCACATAGGTATCCGCCTGTCTTTTATCGCATTGATTTTAGATTTTTTAAGGCCTCTTGCAGGTTTTGTGTCATTTGGCATGGACGTGGGTCTTATCTCTTTAATGGCACAGAAAACAAAGCAGGATAACTGTCTGTTTTAAGTTCAGTCATGTTTTTCTAAATATAACTAAGTGTTATTTCATGTGTAAACCTAACTAATGTCACTCATGTGACAAAAAGCATAGCATCCAGAAATTAAAGCAAAAGGGGGAAAGTATGTATTAAACCTTCAAAATAGTCGATATTTACGTTGTCATGACGATCTCCTTAAGATGCTATGAGGTGCCGTGAGACTGATTCATAAACCCAGTGTTCTTTTTTGTTTTTTTTTATCAATATCTATCAATATCAATATATCATTCTACCAGTCTTCTTTAAAGTTAAGGCAAATGGTTATTTTGGTTTGACATTTAATTATTTTGATATTTTTTACATTTATTTGCAGTCTACTAGTTTTTTCTAATCTCTTCTGGCATTTCCTGTTGTTTTTAAACAGATAAAATATATTTATTTCTCACACACTTAAGGAATCAGAAATCTGAGTCTCTATCCCATTGTGCGATAAAATTAGCTTTGGCAACATGTGCACATTGTTTTGGTTGTACTTTCAGGTGGCTGACAGTAGAAATTCAAATCAAAAGGTCATTGGCTGAAGCTGTTTTGAGAGGTAGAGGGAGCATTAAATGTGTTAATGTTCTTGACTCACCTTGAATGGATACTTTAAAAGAAATTAAGCCATTGGCTATCACAATCAACATGTTTTTCTTTTTTAAAAGAGTAAAAATATCCATCTAAAAGTCGCTATTCTGAATAGCCCAGTCTTCAATTTATTTATGTCCAGGCTTTCTTACATTAAATGCTGATGTAAATCTTCTTAGAGGCCATTGCTAATATGACACGCACAGTATTTAAGCTCTTTTTACGTCCGAAATGGACCCGATCAACTCTGAATCATGATGTACAATTTTCTCAGATTTCTCTGGTTTTGCCCATCAAACCACACTTACAACAAATCCAGCTTGTGCATGATTCTCTGACTGTGTGGATCCGGAAAGCTCTGGACAGAGCCTATGTGTTTAAGTTTAACAATGCATTAAAGCAAGCTAATTGCATTAAGGATTTTTTTGCAGACGCGATATTCAAGTTTCCTAATGAACGCTTTCTGCCTCAGTATATAACCAACCAAAAATGGTTGTGTCCAACAGCAAATACAGTATAAAGCCATCTCTTCCTATAGTGCTTGTCCCCCTGGACTGGTTTTCAACACAAAATGTGCTCCTACCAAAAATGTAAAAGGTTAAACTCTGTCTTCTAACATGAGGCCTCATCATGTTGATCACTCCTTGTTTGAATATTTGATATTTTTGCTATATTTACTTTTTATCATAGCGTCATCATAGCAAAGTTTTTCAGCAACCAAGACGTTTAACCCAAAAGAAAGGACTGAATGACACAAAATAGAGAACGAGGGACAAAGCAAGGGAAGCGGATGACATCAAACTCCTCTGAG